AGACCACTACTACTGTTGCTATCGACAGAAGCTGGAGAAGCTTTTGAATACCAATAATAATAATAATAATAATAATAATAGGGTTGATTGGGCTTTTATGAGTATTGCTCTCCAGAAAATGGGCTTTGGAGTGAAGGTCTGATCATGGATAACATCTCTATACACCTGCCCAAGGGCATGAGTTAGAGTTAATGGCTCTCTATTGGGAGTAGTGCAGATATGTAATGGTACCAGACTGGGATGCCCACTCTCCCCGCTACATTTGTGTTAATCCTTGAGCCATATTTGGAAACAGGTAAGATCCAAATGTAGCAGGGTTTAAGGTGGGTGAATTCGAACACAAAGTTGCTGCATAGGCTATGGATATGTTGTTTTTTATTGAGAACACACGCATTACTCTCCCCAATCTCATGTCGACCTTTAAAGAATAAGAAACTAAATCTCACACTCCCTAGGAAAGAGCAGGAGACTGTAAGCTCCCAGTTTCTGTTTCATTTGTGTAAAGATAAGCTGTATTATTTAGGAGTATGTATCATTTGGATCCAGAGCAATTATACTTCCAAAACCAAATGCAACTCATGCAATCAGTCCAAAAGGTCATCAAATCATCGGTTTACCAGCATATTTCGTGGTTGGGTAGAGTTTTGGATTTAATGATGAACATACTACTTTGATTTTTTTACTTACTTCAAACAGTTTAAAGAGAGGCTTCTTTAAAGCAGTAAGATCCCTGGTGATCGCACATCTTGGACATGAGACTTTGTGCCAACCAAGGGCTAGAGGTGGATGGAATGGTATGTGGCCTCCACAACAAAACTTTGTCCGACTCTAGATGCGACAAACATTGGAGTTCTGCACCCCTCATTGGTTTTGAATACACCCATGGCTCTAACCGAAGACTGGCAGCTAACATTTCTGTATCACACACCCTGGCTTGAAGTATTGTTCTCAGTTCAGAGAACTACACGAATCTCTCCAGCCATGGACCAATGATTCTGATAACCTACAATAAAAATCTGGCTGGTGGTTTAACAGCCATAAATCTGTCATTTCTGAGACAGCGACAATACATACCAATCCGTCAGATATTATCATCGGACAACATATGTACCCTAAGGAGGGAGGATGCCCACTACGCTTGAACACTATTGCTACATGCAAATCCAACATTTTTACCACAGCATTCCGAACAGGGAAGCAATGAATAGGGATCCCACATGCTTTAAGAACCTGATTTTGTTTTCAATTGTTTAAGTGTTTCTTTGCTGCTGGGAGGATTCAGTAAATAAAGTAAAGCTAATATGAAGCCTCCTGTCTTGCCATAAAATTCTAATACTGCAAAGTAAGAGTTCTGTTAGTTCTGAAGTAAATCAGAAACTTCTATCACAGTGGTAATGCACCCTGGAACTACTTCATAGAATACACACAGTCACATCCACACAGATACTAATACTGACATACATACAGATACACAGGTATAAACATAAAATATACAGACACACACTGACACACATACAAATACACAGACAAATAGACACACACACAAATACACAGACACCCACACTAACACATATACAGATGCACAGACACACACTGACACAAATGGGGATATATAAACACACACCAATACAAATACAGATGCACACACTGACACACATGCAGATACACAGACACACACAATGAGAAACATGCAGATGCACAGACACACAGATACTCACAATGACCTTCATACAGATACAAACACTGACACACATAGGATACACAGACACACACAGATATACAGGGGCACACACTGACACATACAGACACACAGATAGATACAGAGACACACAGATTACACACACAGATACACATACAGACACATAGATACATACACACAGAGATAACACACACACAAAGATCACATTACATATTTTTATACAATTTTGGTGCAGGAGGTTGGCTTCCCTGGCGTTCAGTCGCATCTGGCTGAATATGAGGTAAGATCCAAATGTAGCAGGGTTTAAGGTGGGTGAATTCGAACACAAAGTTGCTGCATAGGCTATGGATATGTTGTTTTTTATTGAGAACCCACGCATTACTCTCCCCAATCTCATGTCGACCTTTAAAGAATAAGAAACTAAATCTCACACTCCCTAGGAAAGAGCAGGAGACTGGAGTCTGGTTCAGGCTCTCCCTCCTGTCTGATCCTGGCTCTCAGTCTAACTGCTCTGTATTGTCCTCCTCTCTCTCCCGCTCGGCTCCTTGGTATGCTGGGAGAAAATGACTTGTACTCACTTCCTTCCAGCTCTGCGGCTTTACAAAGAGCCTGATGTGCTGTTAAAGGGCCATGGCATCTGACTGGACTTTCGATCAAAGATGTCCATCGGGTATCCTTAGATAGGCCCCGTGAGCTTGTGGACCCCATTGCAGCCGGATCTGCTGCACTGGCAGTTTTTCCACTGCTGCCCCCACTGTTTACATTTCACAATTTCTTGCTCTATGACACACATTTACAGATTTCCTAGAAAAAAAAATCTATTCTGAATGCAGCAAAGTTGCTGGTACCTGCCCTCTTAAAACAATGGGAAATACCTACCAAACAAAATTGGTTAGATTGGGTCTAGGGGATTAAGGCTGCAGAATACATGGTATCCTCCTTGAAGGGAACGTGTGTAAACATACTGAACAATAGTACCCATGGAATGAATATATGTCCCAAAGAGTAGGGGTTATGGAGGTGGGAGATGGAAGGTAGTAGGTTGGCACAGAGAATATTGTAATAAAGGTGAAGTGTATTGCTCATGATCTTGCTATTTTAATGATATGGTTAGTTAGCACACTGAGAAAAAATGAGGGTAGCAAGGATGGGAGGGATGGTGGGGGATGCAGTCACTTTTAGATGCTGGTGGGAAATAAACTCTTTCTCTTTCATAGCTAATCCTTCTTTAAACTTTATTCTTACAACACACTGGTCTTACTGGCCTACTTTACACATCCTTATACTGGAAAACTACCCTAAAGTGTATAATAACAGTTCTAAACTATGGAGACATTGATAATGCATTCTACTGGTCCATTGTATTGGAAACTGTACAAATCTAAACAAATACAGACTAATCGATATGCATGTACAATGTCATCTCACAGCCCTGTTTATTGCACGGTGTATTCCATTTTGGAACATTACCGAACCTTTTTACTCAAAGTTGTTTGAATGTGAACAAATCCTGACTAATCACAATTTTTTTTTTTTTAATTTCAAAGTTTTTTATTTTTTTGGTACATAAAACAACAATAAACAATTGTTACATTTGTTGACAAAAGTGATAAGTTTGAGATTAAAATAATAGTGCATAGAAATAAAGTAAAGTACATGTTATCTGTATTGGTAATTGGTTCGGTTGGGCGGTGATACTAGAGTGTTGGATAGTTGGTCAAGTCTCTAACCTGAGCCTCGTCGTTGACTCAAGAGATTTTGTACAACGTATTGTTAACCGTTCGTTAAGAGTAGATGTGGGAGCATTAAAGGAATCTAGGTGTGCGTGAGCAGTATTTAGAGAGTTACCTCTTTAGCCTGGTGGGTATGTCTGAACCCTAGTTTGCGTGTATCGGTTTAGGGGTGGGCGGGAGGGGGGAGGTCATATTTGTAGTTGCTTCGTTTGGGTGCATGTGGGTGGGCTCTCGATTATGTAGGATATTTAAGTTTTGAGGGATGGTCACGAGTGCATTTTCTGTTTCCTTTGTCAGGAATTCAGTCCAAGGAGACCATATTTTGGAGAATGTTTGATAGTTTGTGGTTTTAGCTTGTGTTAGTTCCTCCATGTTTAATTTCTTCGACTCTCGCGAACCATTCCTTGATAGTTGGGGTGTGGGTTTGTTTCCAGTATTTAGGGATAAGTTGTGCAGCAGCCATAACTAGAAAGTTGAGAAGGGTGGATTGCTCCCTTCGGTGATGTTTCAAGGGAAGTAGGAATAAGTATTGTTTAGGGTCCATGATAAATCCGCTCTTAATGATTATTTGGTTAAGTTTGTGTATCCTGGTCCAATACCTTGATATTAGTGGACACTGCCACCAAATGTGTGAGTGATGGGCATTGATTTCCTGACACCTCAAGCATGTGTCTGAAGGTGTGTTGTATAGTTTTTGGATTGTCGCTGGAGTGTAGTGCCATCTTGTGATTCGTTTGTAGTTGCTTTCTTGGGCTTGATTGGAGGATGAGGATTTATGGGCGAGTTTGAGTATGGTTTTCCATTCTTGTGGTGAGAGATTCAGTTCATCTTCCCACTGTGTGGTAAGTTTTGGCAGGTATGGGAATGACAATGATATGTTATTATTATTTATAAAGCTCCAACAAATTCCATAGCGCTGTACAATCGGATATATTTGTATTATGTTGTCTTTATATTTACTTTGTTTCCTATCTTGTGAAATATATGTAAATGTTCAATAAAATACAGAAAAAAAATACTGGTATTTCCAATGGTTTGTTAATATTTTTAATAGGAAAAAGTGAATACTTTGCTTTCTCAAACTTTTTGGTTTCAAAGAAATCACTGCAGCAGCCTATTTGCCGACCACAAGTACTTCCATCCATGTATTTATTAATTTACACAACAAACAGCTTATGCAATAAATGGAAATAAAAATAAAATAATAATTTGGCTCCTTTTTAAAACATACAGTTTACAGAGGAAAATAAATTAAAATGTAACTCTTGTTTTCTTCAGTAGACACTACAATGAAAACAATTGTGATTTCGATGTTTCTCGGTATTTATTTGAAGCACCTCCTTTCATACAGTAATATTTTATGTGACTGTGAGATAGTACTACTGAGAGGAACTCTGTGAGGTCAATGACTGAGACCCCCCCAGAGCCCTTTGATTCACATTCCTCCTCCCCTCCCATCCCCAGGAGGTCTATAGTTTTCTTTTGACAGTTTAGAATGGGCGGGAAAGAGAGTGGGAGCGGCTCGACAGCCGATTGGACGGCATCGACGTCACTACCCGCGAAGGTCCCGCCCACCTCCCGGCCCCTCCCCTTGGTGTGATGACGCAGGAGGCCGGTTGGTCGCACGGATTGTGCATGGCGGCGCGGGAGGAAGCGGAGTGCGGCCGCTCTGTCCTCGGTTAAACCGTTGGGTTGGTGATCCGGGCGAGAGACCGTGTGTGATTCCGCCATCGCAGCTCGCCCTCCGCCCGCCTCTCTGACTGTCACTGTGAGGGCTACCACCTCAGCCGTCACCGGGGATCCTGTAAACAACCGCCGGGCCCGGAGACTCGTCCGCTGGGGCCAACCGCGGGCCAACCCCGGGCACTGTGAGCCCCCTGCCCTGCTGAGGATGCCTGCTGGCCACCAAGCTATTGCCTGCAGAGCAAGGGCCCAAATCTGCTCTTATCTGTGACCATCACCCACCTGTCAGATACAGCCCCCCTATACACCCCCCAGATACAGCCCCCTTATACCCCCCTTTAGATACAGCCCCTTTATACCCCCAGATACAGCCCCCCTTTATACCCCCAGATACAGCCCCCTTTATACCCCCCAGATACAGCCCCCTTTATACCCCCAGATACAGCCCCCTTTATACCCCCGATACAGCCCCCTTTATACCCCCAGATACAGCCCCCTTATACCCCCAGATACAGCCCCCTTCCCCCAGATAGCCCCCCCCCCAGATACAGCCCTCCTTTACACCCCCCACCCTGTGAATGCTGGACATTGTACATAGCCTGGTGATGGGGATTGAAAACCAGGGAGCCATCTGTATGTGACCGGCCTGAGCCCCCCCTCACCCACCTGTGCTCAGAGTGGAAGGAAGTCCTTGTAAAGGAAGTAGTGACTGCTCACCCTCCTGTATGTGTGTACTCTGGGCACAGACATTGCTATTCTCAGTCTGGCAGGTTTTACCTGCTTCATTCCTGATGATGGAGTGAGAGTCAGGCCCTCTGGAGGAGTGCTGAAGGTCTTAATTGCTAGTGGTGGTCTTTTACATGGGACCAGTATGGGGTATTGGCTGGGGTACTGGAAGGATAGCTTACAGACTGACCCTAAAGCCTTTTAGCCCAGGTGTGTTATGAATTGGTAATACATTTGCAGTGGAAATTGCTGAGGTCTGGTTCGTACAGCAGAGGGTGGCCTGGACCAATTGAGGCTCTTAACTTCATTCCTGATTGGAGTGACCCTCCGCCCAAGCTGTCCCAGATGCCTTCAGCCTTGGCGATCTTCACCTGCCGCCAGAATTCTCACCCTTTTCAGGAGCGACATGTCTACTTGGATGAGCCAGTCAAGATAGGCCGTTCAGTGGCCCGCTGCCGCCCAGCGCAGAACAATGCCACCTTTGACTGCAAGGTGTTATCCAGGAATCATGCACTTGTATGGTTCGACCATAAGACTGGCAAGGTAATAATGAGCTGGTCAATAAGAAACGAGTACATACTATGAGTATAATGCCGCACCTATTTCTGCACCCCATCCCCCTTTATACCCAGAAAACAAAGGGGCTACTCAGTTTGTGAAGGTGTCAGCATTGGTTTGGATCGCATTGGTAAGGGGAGATGGTGCTTCCTTTAAATGGAAATGTATGTGCTTGAGTGATGGTGTGACTTTACACTACCAGCTGTCTAAAGCTTCCACAAGGCAAGACAGTACTCCATGCTACATTTACTATGACCCTTTAACATTGTTATGAAACCACCAAGGCTTTTAGTGATACTGTTGGAGTTAATTGTTGAAAGGGAGTTGTGTCATCACTGTATGGAATTAACTACTGTGCTATTCTATGATCTCTTGCCAAAGATCGTTTGGTTAGTCCTGCATGTTTGTTTCGGTGTAAAAATTCAATGTGCAGGGGCTATTCTGTGTTATGATTCTAAGTCTTGTGAGTACATTCTACATGGCAGCAATGGCTGCATATTGGTCAGGGATCAAATATTCTCTAGTATTAGAATTCTAATATGGGTAGATGACATGCAGAATGTTAGCTGCATTTCCAAAGTTCTTTTTATTAAGATCATGTCTTGCGAAATCTTCGTTTGTGTGTATTGGTTGGCTTTTGTTGATTTAACTGGGTGAATTTATATATATTTAAATGGAGAATTTATGGCTAAATGTAACCTTAAAACAGATAAAAAAACAAAACAAAAAACGAGCAGATGTCTAATTCCAGCAAACTGTATATTCAACCAATGGATGCAATAGCACACGCTCTATATGTGCTGTGTGTTTCTCACATCCTCTGTAATATATTTTATGTGCTGTACACAACCCCTGCTAATGTTTAGTGAAATGTGCCACTTATTGTGACCACAAATGGAACCAGGGATCTGGTAAATTGGGAAAGGCCAGCAAGGCATCTTTGTTGGCTTGCGCCTTATATTGTAGTATATGTCTACAAATCGCATTTGCAGATCTCTCTAGTATGATGTATTTTCTTCTTGTTTCTGTAATTTGCAAAAGGAGGTGTAGTAATCAGTTTTGGATTTTTTTTTTTTTTTTTTACATTTCTTTTATTTGCAGTGTAATATTATATAGTGCCAAATTCCGTAGCGCTGTACAATGGGTGGACTAACACACGTAATTGTAACCAGACAAGTGGACAAGCAGGAACAGAGGTGTTGAGGGCCCTGATATGGCATTATTATATGATTACACTTGATTAGCACCTTTTCATTTCACTCTTAATCTAGCCTCACATTGCTTTGAAGGGATTTGTAGTCATACCCACAGTCTTTCCTGTTAGTCTAATTGTGAAATTTCTGAATGTCTTGCAGGTACTTTAATGGAAGCTGTGACGTTAAGTAGGACACTGAATTACTTTTTTACAGTTTAAAGGATATTTTAGTAGTATGATGTAAATTTGTCTAATTTTATGATTTTTGATAAAGTAAACTTTTTACTGCACAAGATTTTGTGTCAGGACCACTATTGGGATACTGCAATTTATGATCGCTTCAAGGCAAATCTAGTATTTCTCTATTTGTTTTGTGGGATGCAAAGGAAATAAATTGCTTTGACTTTGCCACTGACAAGGAAGACTGATATGAATAATAAGTATTCTACGTCTTCTTTGTCTTTTGATTTAAAAAAAAAAAAAAAAAAAAGTTGAGTAACTGACCGCATGGCTTGTTAGAAGTGCAAAAAATTACTTGTAAATGCACACATCACCTACTCTTGTCTGCTAGAATTGACTTTTCTCACACTACAAAATAAACAAACAAAAAAAAATCAGGCCGAACACATTAGCATTATGCAACTTACAACTAGGAGATAATCACAGGTGATCAGAAAACGTGACTTGTAGCAGAGGATCCTTATTTGTGGCTGCTTCCTTTGTGGGAATAAATAAGGGTGTTTTCTACATCTCGTGGAATCCTTACCAAAGTACTTGTGAAAAAGCAGAGCTCTTTCAGAAAGTTCTGTTCCACTCTGTCAAGGGCCCTCCACCTGAAAGTAATAGCTTTTACTTGCTACAGTCTGGTGACATGCCATAGCAAGTCCTTTTAGAACACAGTGACCCTAGAGAGGTTGCAATAGAATGTTAAGGCCTATTCTTCAAAGGAGTTGGAAAGTGAACATCTTACAGCTTTAAAAATGATTGCATCTACCAAACTTCTGAATTCAGAATCACTTGGAAATGTTGCAGAAGACTTGTGGAAAAGCATAGAGGTGAGTGTTTTTTTGTTTTTTTCTATTGACAAACTTTATTTATAAAGTTTGCGAAATTACAAAACAAGGAGGAAGCAGGCATAGTACAATTTGCATCAAGGCGAGACCAGACTAGCATAACCTATGAAATCTGCAGGTGTGCAACAATAAGTCAGTATATTAGAAACTAACATTGAGACTTCTTGCAAAACAAAGTAATGATGAAAATGGTGAAGCATACCTATAAACAAGTTATAAACAAGTTGCACCGTATAAAGGACTGGAGAAATGAAGTAAACAGAGGGTAGAGAAGATGGATTTGGGGGGGGGGGGAGTGGAAGTAGAAGCAAGAGAGGATAGGGATAGATGGGTGGTTGGACAGTGAGTAAATGGTTACTGTAGGTCAGTAGATCTGCTGTTATAATAAGCATGAGAATCCATCTGATACTACTATTATTTTTCAATTATTGTTTTTTTTATTTTTTTATCTTTCAAGGCTGCTATTTGTGCTTGCATGGCAATTACTTTCCTTTACAGTATGTTGTATAGTTTACACTTTTGGCTTGTAAAATAGTTTGTAGGGCTCCTCAGGTGAAAGCTTATTGGTTGTGTCTAAAAAAACTGTTTTGGGGTAGAAGATCTATATGCACGTTTTGTGGGCCATGTTTGGCTCAGGCCCGCCTGGGTCAAGATCAGTGTAATTCATAGTAACGTGTGCATACAAGTATATATATTTTTTTTCTCCCTTTTCTTTCCCCCGCTCCATTGAATAGTTAATAGTTGCATGAATACTTGTACAGGAAAGGATAAAATCCTCCTTGGATCTGTGTTTTGAATTGCTGACAATTCAGTTGAGACTGGTCTTGTCAGCTCTAGAGCTTGCTTGGCCTCTAGTATGTGGTGGATATTTAAAAGTAACAAACCGTGAGCTATTTTTTAATTAGTGGGGACTGTGTTTTGTCAAAGCCAACTTCTCTTAATTACAAAAAGCAAACCTTCCACCTTTCTAAAGTGGATTGTGGCACAATACTCCTGAAGGAGTCCCTTTTATGTTTGCTTCTTGTTGGATATCCTATATAAAGAGCTAGTAAGGTGTAGTGGTTTCAAAAATGGTGCATTTGGCAGATTGATTTCCAGTGCAACGGCACTGATCTGTTTAACTTTTCATTTCAATGCATCTTTATTTCTAAGTCTTTAATGTTTCTCAAACTCTTGGTATCCAAAGTGAAGAGCTCAGTGCCATGGCTTAAATTCTCAAGTTCCACACTACTAGTCGGGTTTTAAAAGATATTCACCACTGCATGCTTAGAGAATTTACTGCACTCTCGTCAGGGCTAAATGTTTACTGAGCAATTGCTAGTGGTAAGTGGAGATTTAAAACTCTGTTAACAGGATTACATATGTATCACCCCCCTCAGGAAGAAACAAGCAAAATGTTTGACTGTAATCTATTTAACATGTTTTAGGTTAACGTAATTTATAAAGTTGGGTGTGGAAGGAAGCATTTTATCTTCTGTTCCCTCATTCCGAGCTGATTTAGAGTAAAGCTTATATTGTTCTTCATTTCCTTCAAAGGTTCCTGATACCCAGATCAAGTTCAGTGAAGATAGGAAGTTTGTTTTGCCTCTATCTCGATTTCCAAAATATTCATTAATTCCTATTTTAATTTTTAATTTTTTTTTGTATTCTGCTTTTACTATTTTTACAAATTCACACTTGCTTGTTACGCATCACATGTCTGTCTGTCTATCTTTAAAATTTCAAGTCCTCTATTACTAGGCAGGATTTAAAAGCTGTTTGCCACTGCAAGTCTGGTGGAGTACATATCTATTGTCAAAGATTAAATTTCTACTTGCCAGGTCAAAATTTTCTCTTGCCCGTGGCTAATGGAAACTTTGATAGAGCGAAATTAGTATGTATATTATGTGTGTAATACAAGGCTGTAATTTACAATGTATATTGATATAATATACCGATCATATATACCATATTGCACACCGTTATTTATTTTTTATATATATGACCATAACATATTCTGCAGCGCTTTCCAATTTGAGAAAGGGTAGAGGAAGTCATTGCTCAAATCAGCTTGCAGTCTATGGTAGTAAATGTGAACACTTGAAAATGTTTAAATATATATTTGTATTATGATCCATAATCCAACCTTTGTGCTGGAAGCCTTGGCAAAGAAGTCCTTTTTTTTTTTTTTTATCGTTTAGAAACCTTATTGAAGTTGCTAAAATATTTGACTTTAATTTAAAGAAATACAGCAAGCACCATAACAACTTATGGTGCCAGGTGTGCCTTGGTGCCATCCTAGGATAAGTAAGTCAAACTGTTTTTAATAACTGTTTCCTGGGTGCATTTGCCATATCTTGCTTCAACTGCAGGAGAAGCTGGATATCTTTTCTGAGCTAAGCAGAACCAGATACAGGGGAAGCTATGTCTATAAGTGTGGTCTTGTTTAGCTCAGTGGAGCTAAACAGATTATCTATGGGCTTAGTTGTTGTGCTTCAAATGTTCTTTCACTGAGTGTATGCTCAAGTAGGTCCCTTGCTTTTCATTTATCGATTTAAACCCATGCAATTGATGCATGGAAGCTGAATGCTGCTCATGTATGTAGTAAAACCCCTAACATGCCAAAATAGGATTGCCTGTTGAGGGATGATTTGATATTACATTGCTGACTTCTTCTGTATGTAATTCATTATGTAAGGAAACAGAGGCTGTTTCCTCATAAAGTAAATGAGTAACAGATTGCAGCTCTGAGATGCAATCCCACGAAGGCCCTAGTTTATGATCTATTACTATCTTAACCAGATAGCTCAAGAATCAGAAAACTTGCCACAGTGTACTGATTACTGAATGTCCCTATGCCACAACCTCTGCTTTTCTGTGCACTTGATGACCTCTTGCCAGATGTTAAGGTTTGTCTTGACGGCTTGTGAGCCAAATGAGGCCCCCTAAGTTTTGTGTGTCAATCCTATTGTCTGAAAAATGTGCATAGTTTGTATAGTATTACATCAGTAAAGGGAAACTGTTAAAAAGAGGAGATATGTAAATATTATGAACCCTCGGAAGTGAGGTTTGAAAAAGGTAAAGCATGTATTCTAACATTGGGATGTTCCTTGCCAATCCCTGTCTGATTTATGAATATTGAAGTCAGTCAACCCAGAGCTTAATTAGAGAAGCATTTGGGGGCCTTCTGTGAATGCGCTGCAATCACTAGTAAACTTCTCTTCACACAGATGTATTCGAACAATCCATCTCTTTGGGGGGCATTCTATGTTTTCATGTTGAGCAGCTGGACGCCGAATGTCAGTCCTGAAAATATTGCAGGACATCAATGGGAAAGCATCTCTCTGTCTGTCAGGGTAATAGCCACTAGAGGTGCTCTTATAGAGAAGTGTAAACACTGCCTTTTGACTAAAAAAGGGTTGTTTACAGTGCAGAGAGAGGCTTTTTTTTTTTCACCGCGTCCACTACTGTAAGCTTCAGTGGTCCTGATGCTTAGTGTTCCAAAACAAATGAGTATTTTGGAGCAGTAAAACATGACAATGATATCGGTGAAAAATGCAAAAATCAAATATGAATACTAACTTTGTTAAGGACTTATGACTAAGTGGCTGCCAAAAAAAAGACTTGTCATTAGTGATGTCCCGAACGGTTCGCCGTGGACGGCGAACATATGCGCTGTTCGGTCCGCCCCCTATGTCATCATTGAGTAAACTTTGACCCTGTACCTCACAGTCAGCAGACACATTCCAGCCAATCAGCAGCAGACCCTCCCACCTCCTGGACAGCATCCATTTAACATTCATTGTGAAGCTGCATTCTTAGTGAGCTGTCCAGGAGGTGGGAGGGTCTGCTGCTGATTGGCTGGAATGTGTCTGCTGACTGTGAGTTACAGGGTCAAAGTTTACTCAATGATGACGAATAGGGGGCGGACCGAACAGCACATATGTTCGCCATCCTCGGTTAACCGTTCGGGACATCACTACTTGTCATATACCCTGGGTTGTCTAATTTTGCAAATGGTATTCCATGATGGGGGTAATTTTTATTCCTTGGCTGCCATATGGTAACAAAGGCCCAGCTTACCAAACTGGCAAATTTCAATGTGTATAATCATAGTTATATTACAGGGCTCAACACGTCACATTCCAGTCTACTAGCCTTGTCTAAAGTAGGGATCGACCGATTATCGGTTTTACCGATATAATCGGCCGATATTCGGCAATATCGGTAACGGCCAATTCAGATACCGATATTGCCGATAATACCTCCTAGGACCGCCAGGCTCATTACAAGCCCGGCGGTCCTGGGGGGGGCGGAGAGCAAGCGCTTACTCACCTCCCAGCAGCTCCTCCAGCTCCCCAGTGCAACTCTCGCGAGACCCGCCGCCGTCAGAGCGTTGCCATGGGTCACCATGGCAGCGCGACACGCTGGCCGCGAGAGTTGCACTGCGGAGCTGGAGGAGCTGCTGGGAGGTGAGCCAATACCACTGGACCACCAGGGACTGCTATATCCCCCCTCCCTGGCCAGGCAACAAGCAGGGAGGGGGGACAACAAACAAAAAATAATAATTAAATCTAAAAAAATAATATTAATTTAATAAAAAAATGCCCCCTCACACACACTCCATTATATACACATACACTACACAAACACACTGTGTATATAATGCAGTGTGTGTGTGTGTGTGTGTGTGTGTATACAATGCACACAAATACACACACTGCATTATATACACTACACAAACACACTGTGTATATAATGCAGTGTGTGTATACAATGCACACAAATACACACACTGCATTATATACACATACACTACACAAACACACTGTGTATATAATGCAGTGTGTGTGTATAGTGTGTGTGTATACAATGCACACAAATACACACACTGCATTATATACACACACACTACACAATATAATGCTGTGTAGTGTGTGTATATAATGCTGTGTGTGTGTATATAATGCAGTGTTTGTGTGTAGTGTGTGTATATAATGCTGTGCGTGTGTATATAATGCAGTGTGTGTGTATACAATGCACACAAATACACACACTGCATTATATACACACACTATACAAACGCACTGCATTATATACACACACTGTATTATATACACACACACTACACACAAACACGGCATTATATACACACTGCATTATATACACACACTACACAAACACACTGTATATAATGCAGTGTGTTTGTGTAGTGTGTGTTTGTGTAGTGTGTTTATATAATGCAATGTGTGTAGTGTGTGTGTGTATATAATGCAGTGTGTTTGTGTAGTGTTTATATAATGCAGTGTGTTTGTGTAGTGTTTATATAATGCAGTGTGTTTGTGTAGTGTGTGTGTATATAATGTAGTGTGTTTATATAATGCAGTGTGTGTAGTGTGTGTATATAATGCAGTGTGTTTGCATAGTTTGTGTATATAATGCAGTATGTTTGTGTAGTGTGTTTCTATAATGCACACTACACAAACACACTGCATTATATACACACACTACATTCACTATACACACACACTACACAAATACACACAAACACTTTGCATTTAGTATATACAGCATTCACTTTATGCACACTACCCACACACTACCCACACACTACACAAACACTTTGCTTTCATTATATACACACTACACACACTTGACAAATACACACTGCATCCACTACACAAACACACATTGCATCCTCAACACACACTACACAAACACACAATGCATCCACTACACAAACACACGCTGCATCCACTACACAAACACACACAGCTCCCCTGTCTAAACACACTGCATCCACTACATGTGGCATGTATATTTTGTGCATTTACCTTTAGAAATAGTTTTTATTTTCCAAAATGGTAAATGTACAGAATATCGGCAAATTATATCGGCTATCGGCCTGAAAGTTCACAGAATATCGGTATCGGTATCGGCTCTAAAAAAATCAATATCGGTCGATCCCTAGTCTAAAGGTTACGTGCGCATATAATCATTCAACAGCAACATACTTCAGGAAATGGACAGGACATCAATACACACCACCACCCTTCCCAAACAACTTGCACAGCTTCTAATAGAACCTTACTTGTGGGTGCATTTTGGGGGTTGCAAGGTGCATTGCATTGCTACCTACATACCTATTTTTAGTGTTAACTCTTTGTCAGTGACACAACAGGATATACTGTGAGGATTTTAGTGCATACTTGCCGGAGTTCTGCCCTTATTTGTCACTGAACATCATACGCGGAGGTGGGGAAAAAGAATGGGGAAGGTTTGTCTGAATAGTGGTGCAAAGTTCTTTCGCAGTGGAAATAAACAGAAGCAGCAGGAACATTTAAACTGCTGATTTTTTCGCCACTTTTACAGCTTTTTACATTGTATTCCTTGACTGTGCCAGGAGTAGACTGAATTGGGCCACTTGCTAAATCTTGAGATTTGAAATGACAGGTTTAAACGAGTTATCGGTGACTTTTCAATGTTCTCTTAAGCGGCATTCTCCTCAATTTCTGTCAGCGCCAGCATAAACTTAATAGTTAAAGATTTGGAATACACAGATATTGAGGGAAAACCTAGAACCTACATCAAGAATTCAAAATAATTTTCAATAGCGTTATACCAAACCTACTGGCAAGTGGAATCCGTTTGTATCCTAGTGTGCTTAGCTTTAATTGAATTATTAATGGAATATCAATGTTTATATGCAACCATTTAAAGGATCTCCCTAGAAAAACCTTAATATAGTGGTTCTAGTGTATATACCATGTCTCTGCTGGATGAGCATTGCAAACGCTGTCTTTTCTGAGAAAAGACAGTGTTTACATTGCTGCCTAATGCCAAGGATTGCGGGGAGAAAATTCTCTCCAAGAGATGTACTGAGGAGATGCTAATTGGCGCAGTGCCACGATTGCTGAGCATGCACGCTAACCCCCAGTGTTTCACTATTGAAAAGCATTGGGTTAGGCAGGGCCATAGTGAGACTGAAGCATTGGGGGCTACACTGTAGCATTAAGAATACATGTTTGCAGAATTGTAGTGTCAGAAGCTGTTTTTGGTTTCTGCAATCCGTAAATAAATGTATCTTATTTGCTGGCGTATACGTCAGACTGCAAAAATTAAAGTTATGTAGGTTTAGGCCTATATTTGTCAGATGAGCCGACCACCAAAATAATGTGCAACATTGGCCTAGGTTAGGACCGTGGACTTGTACGCTTATGATTTGGGCCTTGGCAAGCCAGTAGAAGTCAACATTCTTGTTTCATATAAAATTATAAATTCTGTTTTACTTACTGTATCTCGTTATGATTGCTTAAGTTATCAGTTTAAATGTAAACAAAAGGTTAGTGTGTAATTTATTTTATTTTACGGATGACTCTTATGTGCGCAATGATACAGGCATATCTCTACCGATGTGATATTGCTAGTGGGAATGTCATCTACTAGTTCTCCCAAAATTTGTGTATATATAATAAAAATAATGGTTCTTAAGTTTACTCAATTAACCCCTTAAGGACACATGACGTGTGTGACGTCATGATTCCATTTTATTCCAGAAGTTTGGTCCTTAAGGGGTTAAAGCGGCACTGTCATGCCGAAGTTATCTTTCTTTAATCGATTCCTCTTCTCTCCCTCTGTCAGGATCTGTTCTTCATTTCTTCCGATCTGCTCTAATTTTCTTTAAAACATAAGATAAAGTAGGGACTATTTGTCTTATAAAGGTTTCCTACGCCTGACCATCTCTGACCAGAGGAGGAGCAAAGTGTGCTTCATTTCCGGTGGTCAGATAAATTTTCCCAAAATTCTTACCTTTCCTCCCTGTTCCCGCGATGCTTCCTTTCACTTTTCCCAAAAGTCCTGTCACTTAGACAGAACGCTGGCGAAACTACCGAATTGCGTCCTAACAGAATGAGAACAGTTTGTTCATTCATGTTAGGACGCAGTTCAGGACTTTGTTCGTATCGGAATTTCATTAGAATGAGCGGTGGTTGGGGGCCATAAACAACAATAAGGGAATACGGGGACATATTGGGTACGGGGACATATTAAAGGATAATGTGGGGGGATACCTATTGTCCTCCAGCCCCCACCAAATAAAAAAGGAATAATCCCCTACCAACCCCCTTCACCCTAAAAATAGTGAGTGGGAATAAAAGAACTAACTACCTGTAAAAAAATAAAAAATAAATAAAACTTACCATTTGATGTCTTTTTTTTTTTTCTAAAATCTTAATTTTCCAGCCCCCAAAAAAGCCAAATGAAAACCATAATATCCATCGAACTTGTAAAAAAGAAAATAACCCGAGCACAAAAAATCAGACGAAAAAGAAAAAAAAGCTAAAAAATTAATCGTCCTCCGGCGAGGACACGGCGCAGACTTAGCTCCGCAGGACGGGAAAAGGCTTATAAAGCCTTCCCACACCCTGCAATTAGGCTCAGAGCGCTCTGATTGGTTGGTTTAAGTCATCCAATCAGAGTGCTCTGACAGGTAAGTCTCTACATTTACCTGTCACAGCACTCTGGTTGGTTGCTTTGAAATCCAACCAATCAGAGTGCTCTGTGTCATTTTAGACAGCGTGGGAAAATTCCAAAGAACTTTCCCACGCTGTGTAAAATGAATAGCACTCTGGTTGGTTGAATTCCAAGTTAACCAATCAGTGTTTGGAGTCAAATTGCATGGCGTGGGAAGGCTTTATTAGCCTTTACCCGCCCTGCGGAGCTCAGTCTGCGCTGTGCTCAAGCCGGGTGAAGATTGAGTTATTTTTTTTTGGGGGGTGGAGACTACAGTAGTTACCCTCCACTTATTGTTTTATAATGGCCCCCACCCACCGCTTAGGGGTGAGGTCCGTGGGGGGAGGACAATAGGTCCCCCCTCATTATCCTTTAGGGCCCCCCCACCCGCCGCTCTGGGGTGGGGGAGGGGGGAGGCTCCCTGCCTCTTCTATTTTGACATTTTACAAGGAGGGAACTGTGAGCCGAAAGCTCCCTCCTTGTAATAAACTAAATGAACACTGATATTCAGTCTTTGTTTGTTAGTCTGACATGTCGTCTTTCTGCCGAATGAATTCCCACAGGGACTTCATCTACCCACACAAAAATGGTGGCGCCCAGGACCCATGTCATGGCAGAAAATAAAGATAAAAAAAAAATAGGTAATATAGGAGGCTTAGGGGCATTTATGGGTGATTAAGGGGGTCAATAAGATGTAGTAGAGTCAGGAGGGGGGTTAAAAAAACAAAAACAAATTCGGCCTTGACAGTGACTCTTTATGTGATGACCATGATGGTAAGCACTCCAGAAATTCAGTTTCTTTAGAAAAGAAGTTGATGTGATAAAGCGATATGAGAAGGGTGAAAGCATTGCGTGTATCAATAAAGCGTAAGGCCAAGGAATTAGTCTTGTAATGCATGGAAAGTCGTGTACGAAATTTAAATTGACTTCTAGATTTTGGGAGATTCCTTCACCCCCCCCCAGTAAAAATTTCAATTTATATGCCCTCATGTGGTAAGAATTTTAATATGGTAATCTAAATATAATTGTACAGTACTTCATGTTACATAAGGCAGTTGTGTTATCTTTTTCTGGTTATTTAGCAATAACTTTTGATAGAATAAAGATTTCAACACATCTGTTGCATAACATAAGTTAGTTCTGCTGATTTTATTTTTTAATGGTCTGCTGTAACCATTTTCCACATAAGTGTGCTTTAATAGGTCCTTTAAAAGGTACTTGTCACTTCCCAGGATTTTTAATAAAATGTATTTGTTAAATGTCTAAA